TCATGGCAAACCCTAAAGGAAATTTCAAGGTGAATTTGCTATAAAATAATTTAATTTTGAAACCTTAAATATAAAATTAGATACTTGTGAGGACTTAGTGTCATTCATGGTATCTCATTTGACATTTTTAGGAATCCACGGTGATTGGCGTAACCTAAAATATGCTAAAAGTTTTATTATTTTATTATTTTAATAATTCATAAGAGAGGAAAATTTAACAAATGTTGGAACTTACGGTGATTTAGTATCACTCGCAGTCCACTAGTTGATGCTTCTATATGTACACGGTAATTTAGTATTACTCATGACAAATCTTAAAGAAATTTTCAAAGTGAATTTTCTATAGAATAATTTAATTTTAAAATTCTAAATATAAAATTTGATACATGCGATGACTTAGTGTCATTCACAGTTTTTTCTTTTGATATTTTTTTTAGGAATTCAAGGTGATTTAGTATCACTCATGGCAAACTCTAAGAGGATTTCCAAAATGAAATTCCTATAAAATAATTTAATTATGAACTTTTAGTATAAAAATTGATATCTGCGATGATTTAGTATTGTTCACAATACATCAAATACCTACAGTGATTTAGTATTACTCATGGATCTTTCTTTATTTTAAAGGTTTAGAAAAATGCATTATCATTGAGACTCATTTCTTTTATTTTCTTTTTAAGAAAATAAAAGTGAATGATTATCTCGTCTAAAATAAGGATTGATACAAATAAATTAATGGCAAACTCATTCTACCACATAATAAATTGTCATCAAATAACCACCTTGACAGCCCAGACACCACATGCCTAAGCAGAATCGAACAGCCATACTAAGATCAACCACAATGATATCAATTACTACGGGTATAGGAATGCACAGGTAAAAGAAAAGCAAGCCAAAAGGAAATTGTGAGTGATATCAATTGAAGGAATGAGAAACGTATTACGCACAGGGAGAATTGACCAAATGGAGCATGACATCACCAAGAGCATTGTCTTACCTAAGCAAACGTTTTGATCAATTCCTAAATGCTTGCACTTGAAGGATAATGAATTTTGAGTGTCAATTTCATCCCTTCCTTCCGTCCTCCTCTCAAATCTCTTCTCTACCTTTTTAAAGGTGCTAATTAGGGTTCTCTTATTTAATAATAGGATCAAACAAAAAAGGCAATTTTTATTTTGAATCTTCTTTATTATTTGAGATTTCAGATTTTTTCTTAATTAATTAAAAAAAATCTCAGTCAAGGCACAATTTTCTCAAATCAGATTTCAAATATTCTAAATTTTTATTTTTAAAAAAGTCTACTTTAATGGGATTATAATTAAGGGAATTTGGGGTAAAAAATATTATTGTTATTATTATCATAAAAGCCCTTCCTTTTTTATTCCTTTATTTGATTTATCATGTTTTTATTAAGTTTTAATTTACACTTGAAAGCTCGGGCAAAATACAGTGTTTACGGTTGCCCCTCTTTGCTTGTTTCATAGGTGAGAGGAGTGAATGTATTTTTCTAAAATTCTCACCTAAGAAGCAAGTAAAGATAAGAACATGTATTTGTCCGACCAAGACAAATTATTGTAATAAGAAACCCCCTCATACTATCATAAGCATTGAAAGGCATTTAGACAAAATGTCATGTCTGTTGCCCCTCTTTACGTGGTTCTTAGGGGGGAAAGTGGATGGAAGAAAGTGAAAGGAGTGTCAGCCATTACAGGGTTTTAAAAGAGGTGCCAGTCATTACTGGGCTTTGTGGGGCCTGCTATTACAGGGCTTTAAAAGGGGTGCCAACTATTACTGGGCCTTTAGGGTGCTTGTTGTTGCAAGGCTTTGGAAGGGATGCCAGTCGTTACTGGGCTTTAAGGTGCCCACCGTTACAGGGCTTTATGGTACCTGCCGTTACAAGACTTTGAAAGGGTGCTAGCCATTACTGGGCTTCAGGGTGCCTGCCATTATAGGGCTTTGAAAGGGTGCCTGCCGTTACTGGGCTTCGGGGTGCCTGTTGTTACAGGGCTTTTAAAGGATGCTAGCTGTTACTTGGCTTCGAGGTGCCTGCCGTTACAGGGTTTTGAAAGGGTGCCAGCCGTTACTGGGCTTTGGGGTGCCTGTCATTATAGGGCTTTTAAAGGGTGCCAGCCGTTACAGGGTTTTAAAAGGGTGCCAGCCGTTACTGGGCTTCGGGGTGCCAGCCGTTACTAGGCTTCAAGGTGCCTGTCATTATAGGGCTTTGAAAGGCATGTTAATGGTAGTGATAACGATGATGATGTTGATGAAGATGATGATGATGATGATAATGATAGTGATAGTGATGGCAATAGTGATGATGATGATGATGATGATGATGATGATGATGATGAAGATAATGGTAACAAGCAAATAAAAATTAAAAGAGGAAAGAGAAGAAAGAGAAAAAAAAAAAAAAAAAAAAAAGAAAAAAGAAGAAAAGAAAAAAAAGGAAGAAATATAGAAGAAAAGAAAGAAAGAAAAGGGAAAACCCAATATGCAACATTGCCTTCTTTGATAAACACCTAACCAGAACCCGACTGCTTCTATGTTTGATTAGGACTTCTTTTTAGTTATACTTATCCTTATAGGCACTGCTGCTCATGATCCCCCAATATATGTTAAATTCGATTGGCCTTTCGACTCCAAAATCTATCTTTAAGTGCAAGTACTACTAATGCACCTGAAACTGTACTAGTTAATAGGGAGTAGAGTATACTATGTGCAATACCATGAGCATTTATTGAGACAAAAAGGTGCTCTTTTATTAATGATATGCTCTTATACAAACTAAGAGTGCCAAATTTATTATGCTATTCAAAGAAAGAGGCAAAACATAATCAACAAAGAGAGGGATTCATTTAAAAGAAATGACCCTGATAGATCACAATGCGAACGTATGCCAAAATATGGAGAAAGTGTTAGACAACTGTAGGGTAAATTTAGTTACCTAATAATGAAAGATTTGTAATGCTAATAGGATGTCCTTTACTCGTGATCTGTATAATCCCTTTGGGTGTCTTGCTTTGTTGCCAAAGATATGCACTTTATGAGTGATGACTGAGTTATTCCAAAGGAAACATTGCCTGGATAGTCACAATGAGAGGTAATGTCGGTAATTCGATAGTCTTTAGGCCTCTGATCTGCTCTAGATTGCCTTTTTAAGATTTCAACCTATCTTCTTAATGCTCTAAATTTTGCCTAGGTTGCCCCTTTCGATTTGCAACCTAGCGAGCTTTTTTTTTGCTCTAATTTGTTGCCTAGGTTGCCCTTTTAGGTTTTCAACCTAGCAAGCCTCTTTTTTTTTTCTACTCTAACTTTTTCCTCGGCTGCCCTTTTGAGTTTTCAACCTAACGAGCTTTTTTTTCTAACTTTTGCCTAGGCCGCCCTTTCAGGTTTTCAACTAGCAAGCTCTTTTTCCTTTTCTCTTTCTCTTTTTCTTTTTCTTTTCTTTTTTTTTTGCTCTTACTTTTGCCTAGGCCCCCTTTTAGGTTTTTCACCTAGCGAGCCTTTTTTTTAAGCATAGTATATCCTAACAGCATCTGTGTTAGTAGGCCTTGGTAATTCTTAGCCTTCCATGTTTGTCAGGATTAGCACACTGCCTAAAAAAGCATGCTTCACGATGTATGGACCTTCATAGTTTGGAGCCCATTCACCTTAATAATCTTCTTGGTTCGGCAATACTTTTTTACGAACTAGATCTCCTTCTTTAAACTTTCGAGGTCATAACTTTTTGTTAAAAGCTCTTGCCATCCTTAATTGATAAAGTTGCCCATGACACATTGCAGTAAGTCTTTTTTCATCAATCATGTTCAGTTGTTCAAATCGAGTGTTTATCCAATCACCTTCATCCAAGTCTGCTTCAGCCAATACTCATAAAGAAGGGATTTCTACCTCAATTGGAGTGATAGCTTCCATACTGTAAACTAAAGAATAAGGGGTTGCCCTAGTTGAGGCACGTGCGGTAGTTTGATACCCATGTAATGCGTAAGGAAGCATTTTAGGCCAATCTTTATAAGTTACAGTCATCTTGCTAATGATCTTCTTAATATTCTTATTAGCTGCTTCAACTGTGCCATTCATTTATGGCTTATATGGTGCTGAATTATGGTGTTTAATCTTGAATTGGTCACACAACTCTTGAACTGTTGCCCCATTGAGATTGGGTGCATTGTTAGTGATAATCCTCTTAGGTAACCCATATCTATAATGATACTTGTCTTCAAGAATTTTATGAAAGTTTTTTGAGTGATATTAGTGAAAGAATTGGCTTTCACCCACTTAGTGAAGTAATCAATGGCCACGAGGATGAAGCGATGACTATTTGAGGCCTTTGGGCTAATTGGGCCAATGACATCAATCCCCCACATGGAGAATGACCATGGAGATACTAGACTGTGCAATTGCATAGGGGGAGCATTAATCTTATCAGAATAGATCTGGCATTTATGACATTTCCTAACATAATTAATACAGTCCTTCTCCATCGTTGCCTAGTAATAGCCGCATCTTTGAATTTGCTTAATCATTGTATGGTCGTTTGCATGTGTGCCGCATATACCTTCATGGATTTCCTCTAATACCTTTTGTGCTTCCTTTGAATCCACACAACGTAATAAGGTCCCATCAAAGCTCCTCTTATACAATGTATTATTGGTAATAAAGAAACCCAAGGCTGACCTCCTAATGGTCTTCTTTTCATTTTGAGTAGCGTCTTCTGGGTAAGTTTCATTTTCTATATATCTCTTAATATCATGGTACCAAGGTTGGTCATCACTTCCCTCTTCAATATTCAGGCAAAATGCTGGCAATCTTCTAGACTTGATTTGGATAGGTTAGAGATAGACTCCACAGTCAAGTTGAATCATGGCTGCTAGTGTAGTTAAAGCATCAGCAAAACGGTTTTTGTCTCTAGTCATATGATGGAAATTAATTTTTTCAAATTGTTTGATCATACTTGTTAAATATTCTTGGTAAGGGATCAACTTTGGATCTTTAGTTCACCATTCACCAGTTACTTGATAAATTATGAGAGCAGAGTCACCAAAAACTTCTAAGCTTTTTATGCTAAGGTCAATGGTAGCTCGAAGACCGTTAATACAGGCCTCATATTCCGCCATGTTATTAGTGCATTTGAACCCTAACTTAATGGCCATCGAGAATTGCTTCTCACTCGGGGATACCATTATGGCTCCAACACCATTCCCATGTATATTTGCAGCTTCATCGAAATACATCTCCCACTGGATTGTCCTACCCTCTTCATCCTGGTCTTCTTTTGTGAAACATATGTTTTCATCTGGGAATTGGAAATTCAACTGTTCATGTCTATCTAGAGGGTTTTTCGCTAAGTGATCAGCTATTGTACTCCCTTTAATAGACTTTTGAGTCTGATATTTTATGTCATACTCAGATAATATTACTTGCCATTTAGAGGCTCTGTCAGCTACATGTAGGCTCTCAAAGATGTACTTGAGTGGATCCATTCTAGAATCATCCACGTAGTGTAATGCAACATATGTTGCCTTAATCTCCTGGTAGCCCATCCGAGACCACAATAAGTACGTTCAATCATTTGGTAACGTGATTCACAATCATTGAACTTCTTACTTAAGTAATAGATTGCTTGTTCTTTTCTCCCAGATTCATCATGTTGCCCCAACATAGCTCCCATAGAATTGGGACATATTGTCAAGTAAAGGATTAGTGGCCATCCTGGTGTTGGTGGAACTAAAATTGGGGGGCTTGACAAGTAATCCTTAATTTTATCAAATGCTTGTTGGCAATTATCATCCCATTTTTTTATAGAATTCTTCTTTAATAGCTTGAATATTGGCTCACAAATTGAAGTTAAATTAGCCATGAATCTCGCAATGTAGTTTAACCTCCCTAAGAAGCTCTAAACCTCTTTTCCTGTTTGGGGAGGAGGCATATTTTGTATTGCTTTTATTTTATTAGGGTCTACAGCGATTCCTTTTTGATTGACAATGAACCCTAACAACTTTCTTGATAAAGCTTTAAAGACATACTTATTGGGATTTAATCGAAGTTTGTACATTCACAACCTTTCAAATAACTTCCTAAGTACTGAAACATGACTTTCCCCTTTAGCAGACTTAACAACCATATCATCGACATACACTTTAACCTCCTTATGCATCATGTCATGAAAAAGAGCCACCATTGCTCGTTGGTAGGTTGCCCTTGCATTCTTTAGCCCAAAAGGCATTGCTCGATAGCAATATGTACCCCATTGTGTGATAAAGGTTGTTTTTTCTTTGTCTTCCCCATCCATAAGGATTTGGTTATATCCCGAATATCCATCCATGAATGAATACCTATGGCTTCGAGCTGTGTTATCAACTAAGACATCTATATGTGGTAAAGAAAAATCATCTTTTGGACTGGCTTTATTTAGATCGGGGTAGTCAATACACATTCTAACCCTGCCATCCTTTTTTAGAACAAGGACAATATTTGCTACCCATTGAGGGTACTTAGCCACTTCTAAAAAACCTACCTCCAGCTACTTCATTATTTCATCTCGAACTACTAAGGACATATCTCATGTTAACCTTCTTAATTTTTGCTTTTTGGGCTTGATATCTGGGAATAAAGGGATTTTATGAGAGGCAATATTCGGATCAAGGCCTGGTATATCTCGATATGACCATGCAAATACATCCATATATTCTTTGAAGAGTTCAACCATTTGTTCTCTTTTTGGATTATCTACTATCTTAAGTTCTTTCTTATCCTCTTCGGTCCCCATGTTTATTACTTCAATCAGTTCCTCATGTGGACACATCCCAGTATCCTCTAATTTGAGGATCTTTGTATATACTTGGATTATCTCATCATCATCATACTTATAAATGTGCATATTAAAGACAATTAACAAATCACCATTTGGGGACTCAGGAACCACTGTGTTGGACAAGAGTTTTGAGGAAATCAATTTCCTGGAGGGCAAAAATAAATAACAGATGAATAGAAAGAAAAGAATGAAGAAGTAGATGAAAATAAAATGATCTTTATTCGCATAATATTCTTTATTCATAGTTCATATAAGAGCGCATAAACATAAAAGAACAACTTAGTGAAAACAAGTTACTCTAAGGTAATAGAGTCGAGGCTATCCTCGAACTCCCAATTTTCCAATGCTTTTCCAGAATCATCAGTCGAGATCTATGCATGCATCCTTGGGCCCACCAGAAAAACTATTGCAATTGTCAGTTTGTTCAAAATTTCAGCAGGTGTTGGAAATGTCTCCCGCAAGTGAGGAATTTCTTAGTCCATGACCTTCTTTTTCATCAGACTTGCTTGCTCTAAAGAAGGCTTATACCCTAAACCTTGATGCTTGTAATTCTTAGGCAGATTGATTGGGGATTTAATGCCTTGGAGGTGCGCACCTAATCCGCTCCCTTGCTCAAACCCGTTCTTCTCTATTATCTTGGTTACAATAGAGTTGACATTTCTATGACATTCAAATTCTTTAACTTTAAAACTTTAGAACAATGGTCCTTTATCATTCTCAGCTGCTTCAATGTATGGAAGAGAACTTGGCTTACTTACCATAATCTCCTCTTCTCCTTTAACCGTGACAATTCTTCCATCAATAACAAACTTCACCTTTTGGTGTAAGGTTGAAGGTACGGCCCCAGCAGTGTGTATCCATGGCCTCCCTAATAATATTGAATAGGATGGGTCAATATCTATGAGTTGAAAATTTACTGAGAATGTAGTGGGTCCTATTTTAAGAAGCAGTAAAACTGTACCCAGTACATCCTTTCGAGCCCCATCAAATGCTCTGACTACTATATTACTACTTTCAATCTCTGATGGCTCTAGTAATAGGTGCTCAAATGTGGATAGTGGTAAGACATTTAATGTTGATCCTCCATCTATCAATACCCTAGCAACAATGAACCCTCTGCAATTCAAGGTAATGTACAAAGCCTTGAATTGGTCAGTGGTAGGTCTCACGATTTCCTCTTCTGTAAAGGAAATTGTGGATCTTGCCTTCATAATATTCATAATGTTTGCTACTTTTTTTGAAGTTATGCTGGATTGTACATATGCTTCATCTAAAGCCTTTTGTAGTGTATGACGATGTGGTTCAAAGCATAAAATCAGAGAGAGAATTGAGATCTTCATCGGGGTCTTCTTCACTGGTCCACTACATTGTATTCACTCTGTTTTATAATTTGTAAGAATTCTTCATCACTCTTTACAGTTTTCTGGGAAGTAAATTTTGAGGGACCTTTAATGCTTGCATCTTTCCCTTTTCTCGAATTTTCAATATCTGCAGGGAGATATGCCTTTCTACTTCGTGTTACACCAATTTGGCGAGTTACTCTCTCTTTACTTATCCCAGCCTCCATAACACCATTATATCTCCAAGGTACAGCATGATTATTTTCGTAAGGAAAAAGGGTCGGCATATGAATTGTTACTAAGGGAGGATGTGCTGGTGTTGTTATAGTAAAAGTGATAGGATTAGTAGCTTCTACCAAACTAGGTTCATCGATTATAAATTCAATATGCCCTTGTTCACCATGTCAGTCTCTTTATCAGCGTTCCTAATGACAACAATTCCTAGCATCATCATTCTTTTCAATATTCTCTTAAATTGAGAACAGCTTTCGATATCATGTCCCTTCATCTCTTAATGATATTCGCAAAACATGTGATTCTATTGTTCTGGTGGATTACTGATTCTTGAAAGTTCGGGCATATATCCTGCAGCTACTAATTGAGTATAGATCTCTCCCATGGCTACCTTGATGTTTATGGGGTCTTTGGGGAATCCAATTTCCTTCTCAATAGCATTTACTTACCTCTCATGATTTGGTAGGGGATTGGTATTGATGGTTGATCCATCATTCTTCTTAAGCTGGATGTGATTATAATCAACTAAATCCAACACATTCCTCTTAAAGGTAGTGCCATTGTCTATTGAATGTCCTGGGGAACCCATATGATACTCGCAAAGAGTATTAGGGTTATACCAAATGGGATAAGGAGGTTGAGGTTGTTTGTTAGGACGTGGTCCTAACAAACGAGCTTCTAAGAGCTGACGATATAGTTCTACATTGGTCATGCCAAAATTTGGCCATGGGCGATTATCTCTTTGTTGCATATTTCTTTGCCCGCTAGCTTGCCCTTGTCTATTTACCCTTGGCCTATTATGTGCTTGTTAGAAAGCTTCACCTCCTATTTGATGGGATACTGGTTGGGATTGTCTTGAAGTTTGCACAAAACTAACATTACCTTCTTCTTCTTGTTGTTCTACCCTCTTCTCACATTACTTTCAATTTGAGTGACGGCAATCCTCCCTTCACGAATGTCAGCGTCAATTCTTTATAGTAGGGATCCTGTAGGGTACGAATAAAATAGGAACAAAGCTCAGACTGTATGAGGGGAGGTTGAACTTGTGATGCAGTCATCCTCCACCTTTAGGCATATTCTTTAAACGACTCTGTCACCTTCTTATTCATTGCCTTTAATTGTTCCCTAGTAGGGGTTGTGTCTAGGTTGAACTTATACTACCTTATGAATGCATTAACCAAGTCTCTCTATTTTTTAAGTTTTACAGGGTCTAACTGCACGTACCATTCCAATGCATGGCTGGTCAAGCTTTAGTAGGAAACTCTTATCTTGGGACCACACATGCATCTTCGTGCAATAAGCCTTCAGGTGATAAACTAGATTTTTAGTGCCATTATACTTATCAAATTCAGGCATTTTGAACTTTTTAGGGATTGTAATAGATGGAGCCAAGCACAACCCTTTTAGATCTAATGACCCCCATGCATTTGACCCTTGTAAGGCCTTCAGTTGGTCCTTCATTTCACCCAATTCTTCTTTCTATTCCTCCTTCTTGTTCTTTGATTGAGGGATTTGGAAGGTGTACAATGGGTCATCACCTGGTTCTTCTAGATTGTCTTCTTTAGTGTTAGAGTCATGAGAAGTTTGAGGCTTCTTTAGGGCTATCTCTATTTCTCGCTTCTCTTTTCCATCATTTTTTGATGCACTTATCTCACCATTGTCTAAGGTATCGTGAGTCTCGGTGTCCTTGGATTTTAGTGCTATAGTCAGACCTTTTATCATTTCCTTCATTTCCAACATCTGGGTTTCCATGAGTGATATTCGATCATTCATGGTAGATTCTCCTTTGTTCGAACTAGCAGCCATTTGACGAGTCCGAGAGCGTGTATTATATAAATGTGCAGGGGGTATCTGGTTAGGTTTCTTAGGAGGAGCAATGTTGTATCACCTTTAAGGAAAACATATAGTAAAAGAAAAAAATTAGTATTTATTACCTTATTTATTACCTTTAGAGATTGATGAACTGTTGAGTTGGATATGGTTAGCACATAGATCTTTATAGTGAAAGGTCCTCTAATTGTTTATGGAAACTTATTGTTTCTCATATTAATTAGAGTTGATCATCAAGCAATCAGAATTTGGTATTCCTTATTGCTTGACATCTTTTGTAGGGATGCAAAGTCAGAGTCCACATTCATAATTTTGCCCATAGACT